TGTAATTATAGGTTTTTAACAAATGAAAAGTTGTCAAGCATTTTAATAGTTTTACCTATAAATTACACCAAAAGCAAATTAAATCACATAAGTACGTATATTTAAATCATAATAATTATGAAATCTGCCAAAACAATAGCAAAAACTGACAAACTTTTTAATAATCTTGTGTTTTTTTTATTTTGACGATTATGGAAAATTAAAAAAATATTATAGTACGTATACCAATCTATTAACTGCCACAAAATTGCATTGAAAAGAATTTTCACGGAAAAATTTTAAAATTATATTAATAATTGTTATAGAGTGTGAATGTAACTCTATAATATTGTATAAGAGTTTCGTTATATAACAAACAACAATAAATAAAAAATAAGTACAAAAGGACAAAATCCAATAAAAATGTAGCAAGTAATTTGGTTTATTGTGCTTGCTTAAATTTTTTATTTATTAAATTAAGTTAAATTGTCAGGATAATACCACAGCTCAGTTAAATGAAATGGAAAATACAAAATTTCCGTTTTTAAATGCGGTTTTACAAAACATTTAAAACATTTATTGTGTTATTATTATTATTGTAAAACAATAATAAAGTCAGTTTTGATTCTCCCGATCATGAAATGGAAATATATGATGGGGCTGCGGATTTCTTATAACATTGTTTTAAAGTTCATTTAATAATTTAATATAACACAATTTTAGTGTGCCTGGAGCATTATATACGAACTTCCAATATAAAGCTTTGTAATGTACCTGAGCTGTTCCTAAATTATTTAAGAAATTTTTTTACTTTTAACAAATTTGTTTTGGAAAAGTAATAGATAAAAATAAATTGAGATAGTAAAATGTGTCTAACCTTCAAAATTTAAACACAAAAACTTTGTTTTATTTAAAAAAAATTATCTAATTCCACTTAAAACTTTTAGGTATAAATACATGTAGGTGTTTCGAATGAATTTAAAAAGGCTAAATTATAATTTATGTATTCTGTACGCATTTTGATTTCGGCTCTATTTAAATTTGAAACTTCTCTGATGTCAGAGAAGAAAAATTTTCGGAATTTAAAAAAATTGTAAGTCAATAATAATGTCACTTGCAATGGTGATGAAAAAAAGCTTCATTATGTTATTTTCATTTTTTTAAGTTTTCAGTTTGTTTCAGTAAATTATGCTCACATTAGTTCGATGCAACCTAGAAACAATCACAATTTTATCATGTGATCTTAAATTTTGTAAATAATACATACTATTACTATGCTATTGACAGGAGTTTCTCTTTTAATGTATATGTGTGAAAATCTTATATTGCTCATTATAAATCGATCGAGAAAATTACGAATTATGGTTTCAGTTCGATTTTTTTGTTCATTTTTAAAATTTTTAATTTTTTGTCGTAGCATATCAGCATCAGAGAATGTAAAATCATTAAATAATGAATATTTTGCGAGAATATTATTTTGTGGATAAAATGGCGACGTACACCTTAAAATTATGTATTTTATAGTTAGTCTCCTTTAAGTTATTCAACTTTCATAATTTTTTCGATTGAAAATGTTTTCGCTGAATTACAACTTATTTAATGTGCTCTACTTATAAATTTATTGCTTTTCTCCGGTAATTTAAACTACTATGAGCAAAATTATTTAACAAATAAATATATAATACTTTTGTTTTAAACTGAAGATAGCAAGTAGTTTCTTGAAATTAAATTTGTTGTATAACAAGCTTAAAAGGAATTCAAATTTTCCGACAGATTTTGTCTTTTTAAGGGGCAATTTCTTTTAAAATACATTACGTAATTTAATTTTTTTTTACTATAAACTTTTAAATTACGTCACTCGTTATTTTCAAATATAGACTTTTTCATTCTTATTGCTTGATTACTTTTATTATTGGCATGTGTTATTCTAAAATTTCAAAATATTTATGTATTTAGTTTTGAATTTGAATTAAAAATTTAGCGAAAAAAAATAGAATTAAGAACACCAAAACTTGTCTTAGTTCGTAGAACATTGCATCCGCTTGATTTACAAAAAATGACAGATTTATTTATAAAAAATTATTTTGGCTAAAATAGCTCAATAACTAAAACAAACCATAATCAAATAAGCGGATTTTGCAAACTAAATTCAGAACAAATATATGTATCTACTTCTAATACACCAGAACTGTATACGGAGCAAACCTATGTAGTATTGAAATGATATAATTACATTATAATTCCTGAAATATGAAAATATTTCAGGATAATTGATTTATTAACCAAACAGTAAGATGAATTTAGTATTTGGTAGATAATTTATTTGAAAAGGAAAAAGCTTCTCGTTAAAGAAAACCGAGTACAAATGAGGCACTCAGCACACTAGTGCCCTATTTGCAGAAATGATATTTCGCGTAAATTACGATTGAAATATTTAAATAAGTATTTAATTTTTAAAAAAGAAAAAAAAGAGAAAAAATATTTTTCTCTTTTCAAGTTATGCTAAATACTTTTGAAGTGAAGTTTGAATACTTTCATGGAGTGATAAAATTGAATAAAATCTGTCTTAAACTTGTGCGGATTCCGACAATAGCATTCGTTTTCCCATTAACGTTTAAGAAAAGATAGACAATTAATAAAACTATCCATTTCTTTTCAGATACGCCAAATTTCCAAACAATTTTTGGTAAAAAGGGCTTCATAGTTTCATTCCGTCCGTCTGTCTGTCCGTGGATCCGTTTACAAAATTTCTATACCATTTAAGAAAGAGAACCGAAATTTTATACATAAATAGATCTATATACTAGAAATTTAACAGAAGAAAACTTTTGCCTTACTCCCGCCTTCTACAAGTTATTGCCCCCAAAAGTCTTAAAAATGAGATTTTTATACCCTGCACCTTCGTGAAAGGCATATTCACTTTGGTATGGAGTTTGTTACCACATGAAGGAGACGTCTCCGGTATAGACATGTGTATATATTTTTGCTCAGTGTAAAATTTTGCGTTGATTTAGACATGTCCATTTGTCCGATCGCACGATAACTCAAAAACGAATGAAACAAATACTACCAAACTTTCACAAGTTTTTCTTTTGTGTGATCGACGGCTGTTATTGTAATTTAAACAATTCGGACAACGGACTCGAGTAGCTGCCATACAACTCAAAGAGCTCTTCTTAAATATTTCAAAAACTAAAACCATGCAACTCCAAAAAACATTTTAAATATTTGGAAAAATATTAAAGTTAAATTCACGAAACTTCACAATCGTGTGTCCAGTTTCAGGTCGGATACAACCCTGAGGTTTGGTGGAATAGCCATAGAGCTTCAAAACCTAATTTAAAACATTCAAAAAAATAATAGAGTTAGATTCATGAAATTTGGCAGTAGTGCGTCCAGTTATAGGTCAGACGTAATTTCCGTGATGTTTCTATTGAGTGGTTTGAAAGGTTCGAGTAATTGTCATTTAACAATGCAAGCTAATTCTAGATATTTCAATCACAAATTTTTATACACAGATTGTCAAAGTATTTAGGATTATTCAATCAGTTTATTCCGAGTCGAACGTTTTTACTTGTTTGACTATTTATTTTAACGAAACCACAAACATTTTGTAAATACTGTAAACGCAAAAAGATAGTAGTTCTTCTACGCTGGAATAGCTTAGTTGGACTATAAATAAACAAAATGACCATTTAAATTAATCGTTACATAAAATCCGCTCCCTTTATATTTTTATATATGTAACAAATAGTCCTTCTTTAGTTATGGAATCTCGAAATTTGTAATATCTAAATTTTCAGCATCTTATAATTCCGAAACGGTAGCTTTCCAAATTCCTATAATTGCTGAAATCTGACGGGAAATGTCACGCTATCAAAGTTCACATTTATTATGATAATGATTTCTCCTTCACTTTTTTTTTCTAACCCTAAATGTATGCCATCTTTTAAATATTTTAGTGTATGAATGAAAGTAATTTAAATAACGTATGTAATAGATTTTTTTAACAGCTGTTGTGTAAGTGCTACTTTACGAATACCATTGGTTTGACCCAACTTCGGATTGATACTGTTTGTTCAGCATTGGTGACGCATATGTCATGCAAGTGGCCTTAGTTATGTTTAAACACAAATATATTTAAAAAAATATTCGGATATCTATAATGCCGAGTTCATTTACTAAATATATGTCATGTACAATTTTATGCTTCTAATTTTTAACTATTGACTTCGATCTACCAAATAAATCATTTTTGATCAAAATGGTGTGACATTGCAATGCTCCCTTACTTTTACTGTCTTATTTTATATTACAAAAAAAATTCGTACAACTGACCATAACGTTTTAATTTCCTCTTTTAACTTTTATTTTCTGATTCTATTCAATATAAAGTTTATTGTAAAAAAATAATTTATTTGAAAATCGATTAATCGATAACATTGTTGGAAAATTCTATTCAGAAATAAAAACTAAAACATTATACGGATTATCATGGTATTAGCATGGCAATGAGACAATTTCAAAAGTAGAATTTGGCAGTAAAACATTAAAAATACTCTATCATGTGTTCATATTATGATGATAAATGTGTGTATGATTTATAGTGTATGTATAAAAACATGCAGTAATTGTGTTCATAAAAATTTTCATAAAATATAAAAAGAAAACATTAAACAGAAATATTAAGAATAAATTAAGACATATTCATGTTTCGCAATTTAGTAATTCGTAATACATACTAATATTTTATGACATTATAATATAAATAATGTACATTTCATAAATAATGCAATAAACTATAGCAATTTTCCTTTTTATTATTTGAATGAAAACGAGAGCAGAAGAATCAAGCAATAAAATACTGACAATTATATGGAAAATAATATATAAATACAATGTAAATATATGTTATGTACATATGAAATATACATAAATGTACATATACGTATATATTTGTACTAATATTCAAAGCATAACAAAAATACAATAATAAAAATATTAATAAAAAATACACTTACCCCTACTATTTGATTTTATGTCATCTGATTTTAAAATTGGTTCATTAACTGCTGCAATACTACCTAATGTGTCAGAGCTGTCGTTTGTTTTAGGCATTTTCGAAAATTCAAGTGAACTCCAGTCAATGTCAGCCGATGGTGATCTAGCATTTAATGACACATCCGTATCGGAAAGATTTATATTAATATTATCTTCATCAATTTCTGATTCATCACTTAAACGATGCTTTAATATTCTTTTATTATCTATTGCAGTTGGTATAGTTTCCAAAATTCCTGCTGTTTTTGTTGGAATTGTTGTAGTAACGGTCATTGTTGTAGCTTCATTAATTGATTTAGATATTGCTGGTGTAATAATATCATTAAATTCATATTTTTTGTCATTTTTATAATGTTGTTGCTGTTGTGTCGCTATTGATATATTATCTTTTGAAGACCTCTTGGAAAAATGTTTCAATACTCTTTCTTTAACACGACTACTACGGCGTACAATAGTTTTACTATCATTAGTTGTTGTTGTCTGTGATAAATCATCATGCTGCGTGGATCCATCTTTATCAGTTTGATATTTTTCACCATTATTCTGATTATGATGATGATGATGATGTGTTAATGAATTTCCCATTTTGGTAAATTTGCAAAATTTTTCGTTTTTGTATAACAATGTCACGTCATTAGAATTATTGAAATATAACTTGAATCAATTAATCTTCTGGAAGCTGAAAAAAAATCAACATTCTGTAAGGATTCCGATATAATGTGAAATTATTTATGTGTGTATATGTATATTCAGAAGTGTGTATAAATAATAGAAAATAAATCAAGGATGCACCCAGTTCTTAGCTATAAAGTATGTAAATTTGCACTTTTATTGTATTTAGTCACATATTTTTGTTGTTGCACTACCTTGCTTCTCCAAATCATTTTAATGTTTAGTCGACATTTTTTAAAAATAATTATTTATTATAATACGATATTGATTCAATTTCAAATCAAATTAAAATATGGTTTTCTATTGACATCATTTGACAGCAATCACAAATTTACAAAGATATTTTTTTATTAGGAAATTATGAAAAATAAAAACAAAGTACAAAATTTTTATTTTTTTGATTAATTTTTGGTGTTCTTTTTATAAATCACATACATTTCAATTTAGTCCTTGTTATGACAGTCCCTTTCTTAATGTGTTTTGAATTTTTACTTTTTTTTTTATTTTCTCGTAACTTTGTTCTACTCTTATTATACTTTTCCTTTTGTTCTTATTGCATGCGGTTATAGATGTTTTGATTTTTTAATTCTTTTAGGAGCATAGACACATAATATGCTCTCGAATTACCCACTTGATCTAGTTTTATATCTTTATATAGAAATTGGCATATAAATCAAATATAATTGACACTAATAATTGAATTCACATTTTTTTTTTATTTTACATCTTGTGCCGAGTTCTTTTTTAGTTTTGTTGTATGTGTACAAATATTGTTTTTATTTTAGTGTAAAATGGTGCTTTTTTTTGGTACACAAGAAATATGCCATTTCTATACTATTTATAATCTGTACTCGTATTTTTTGTATTTATTTTTTCATTTTGTTTATTTGTTTTTGCAAAAATGGTAATAACACTTCACAATTTCACGTCTAAAATCATATTTATTGTGACCGCATTTTTAATTTTATGGAATGGAAAACAACTTTCTTCTTATTGTTTTGATTTATTCTTTTATAAATCTGTATGTACGTTTGTTTGTGTATAGTTACAGAAAAATCTAATTTTTATAGGTTTTTTATTTCATATTTCATATTTATCCACGTGAGAATGAATTCCCAGATTTCTAAACACTTGTTTGTATGTACATTCTTGCATATACTACTATTATTAACATACACTATTTTATTTTTTACTTTGTTATTCTTGTATTTTATTTATCCTATTTGTCTTTTTATTATTATTTTTTCTCACTTGACACAAATTTAGTTTAGCTGATCCCTAATAATAAAGGACATTTTTATCCTGTTTATGAAAGGAAAAAATAAAAAATAAAATAACTTCTATTTATTTTTTACTACATTTTTAAATATTTTTTGTGTGCTCTGGAAAATGTAAACAGAAAAATTTTTCACTGTATGTATGTATAGAATATGAAAATTAACAGGAAAAATCGATTTTTCTTTATTTGGCATATATAAAATTGGAGGCTATATTGTGGTGATAGCGGGCCAAGTAGTAGAATTAAATAAAGTTGATTATTCATTATATTAAAAGATGTTATCGTTTCAGTCTATTATAGCTTCAATGTAAAAGTATTGTAAAGATAAACTCCTTAGATTGTTGAAAAGACATTATAGGAATAATAATAATTTTGTTTACTTTTTTTTTGACAACTCTATTATTATTTTTTGGTTATTTGATCCACTAAATGTGGAAAGCAAGACTTACATACTTTGTTCCTTACCAATAAACTAAATTTAGAAAAATTAGATTCAATTTTCTATTGATGCCTATTTGAACAATTTGATTTATGAGGAGCACGAATGGTTTTTTAAAAAACCATTTTTTTTGTCGGATGCGTTTCGTTAATTAAAAGAAGCATATTTTTGACTATTACATAGACAAATTATTAAATTAAATTTTAATTTGATAATAATTAGCCATAATTTGAAATTAATTTAAATAATTCATTCATAAAAAATATTAATTTGTTAATAAAATAAAAACCTGACATGCAATAGATGCAATTAAAATATTTAAAATTTGAGTAAGGTCACTCAAAAGATTCGGTGTTCGGTTCTATTTGAAAATTATAGTCAACTATAAAATTATCCTATTAATCAACTATCTAACTCCTGTTTTATCTTCTATTAAAACGTTTGCTTTTATAAAGAAGTTCTATTTCTTTTTGTAGTATAAATAATAAATTATATTGTTCTAATGTAAATCACGGTACGTTAAAATAAGGTTTTAGTTTATTCAATTTCATTCAGATCACATTTTCTTCGAGTATCTGCAATTTATATACATAACTAGATATGAATTTTATTTCTGTATACATAAAAATTACGGATAGAATGACAAGTTTTATGTTATGCGCATTTTTTGCCATTGCGCAATAGCCATCATATTCAATTCAAAATAATTCACAATGTGTTTACAGTTATGGTAGTCTTAAATATTTAATTTGCACTCATATTGTAAGATTTAAAAATTATTTCATCTCAAAATCATATTTTATTATTTATTAAATCAAAATTTTAATAAAGAAAAATTTTTTTTTTTAGATTTTACTTTATAAGATTTGGGCTATCACTTTTAATTTCAACCGATAAGTTTATAAAATTCCAAATTGGTAACTAAATACTACTGTTTTCGGTTTTTTTATCTCTAGCAATTTATTGCTCTATAATGTACATAGTTTAGAATTTAAAATTTCCGTTCGCTTCATACTTTTTATTTTGTTTATTATTTTGCACTTGATGAACAATGATTTGTCACAAAAAAGCATATGTAAGTACTTATGTACATGTCTGTACTCGTATTCTGGACTTTGTCAAACAAAATAAAAAAAATAAAAAAATAACATATGAGAAAAATAAACGATGGCCACAGCAACAACAACAACGAAAAATAATTTAAAAATTAAAACGAACGCTTTTTAAACCGTTGAAATTTGTTTTAGAACTGAAAGTGAATCTTTGTATTTGTATTGTTTTTCTCGCTCATTCTGAAAATTAGTCGCGAGGTAGCGAGTAAACAAGTAGTAAGCATGCAATTAAAATTATAGTAAATTTGTGAATAATATTTGTGAGTGGTGTTGATGTCAAATTTCAGATATATATATATTATGTACATATGTACATATGTATATATGAGAGAGAAACGAGCTTATGAAATAATTTAAGATTTCGTTATCAGTAAAGGGTAGTTTAAAGTTAAAATAAATAATAATACAAAAAAAATACAAAAATTTAGTAAGCGTTAGTATATTTAAATAGGTTTATATACGATTGTACATGAGCGTTTATATACAAACATTATGTATAAGCTATACATAAATAGATATGTAAAAATGCGTGTAATATAATATGTGTGTACATATACACATGCCCCTACAAACAAGCATAGTTGCAAACATATGTGAATCTATTTAAATTTTATACATTTAAATGTAATTGAGAATATAGATTTTAAGTTTTATAGAGAGGCAAAAAAAAAGTAAATGCGATAATGATTTCAGCTGTTAAGTTTTCGTTTATTGCCGTAATTTGCATATATAATCTATCTTCATACATATATGTGTGTGCAAAGTACACATATTGTTATTACACGCTGTATGACAAAATTTTATGTTTTTTTTCCTCTGGACGTGCATATACAGTATTCATCATTTGAATTTATTTTAATTAATATTTTATTTTTAAATGAGCACGAAATAAATGGTATAAGTATGGGGAAATTTTTTAAGTGAATCAAGTTTTAAAATTGTTTTTTAAACTTCGATCTACATATGATCTTGGAATTGAAAGACTTAAAATGAACAACTCACATTAGGTCTTATGGAGTTAGAATTTTTGGGCTTAATTGTATTTGAACAAGCAGAAATTAAGAAATATGGCACTACTCATAGATGTTGACTTCTGCATATGTCTGTACATAATATGTAATTCTTTTTAAAACAGGATGTAGTTATTAAATGGTGGATCTGATAAATATTATGCTGAGGAATTGTATACCTATTGATGAATCTACTATCTTTATTACATAATGTATAGGTTTACCGTTTTCAACCCGATTTGATTTGAATCAATTGAACATTGTCAATTCGCCTAATTGAAAAAATTATAGGTTTTCCAACCAATAATTTCTATATAAATTGCACATAAATTACATTATGAGCTGTATGTGTATATGATATGCATAATAAAATACTTCAGAGGCTGTAGGTATAAAATTGCAGTAAAAGTTCCATTATTTTTCAAAATATTCTGTCTTAAACTTAATAGTAAATGATTAACCAAAGCGTTTTAAGTCGTTGCTGAAGTAAGATTCCCAGTACAATTATGTTAAATTTATAGGCCACATAATTTTTCAGTATTTAATTCATGATTATCGTTATAGTTTATAATCGTTAGTAATCTATTCATTTCAGCACATTTCACGTTCATTTTAGAAACTATCCAAAAAATTTTGGTAGACTACGTAGCAAATTTCAAAGAAGACATTTCCCCATTGCATGAAAATTCTTGCTTACTCTCAAATTAAAATATTACTAAAATAATGTTGTTTTATTAAACTGGCAATGCTGTAAAATACGAAAAACGTAAAATTGCATGAACGTCTAACAGTAATAGAAATTCCTTTTTAAGAAGCTGCTGTATATAAATCCTTTTTTTTTTTGTTTATAATACTAGATGAAATAACTTGTTATGTAATAATTTTTCTTTTGACTCTTGTTTGTTCTTATACGAATGGAAACGGTAAATTTATGATTTTTCAGACTATTATCTTACATTTTCATGTCTAATGTTAGATTTAAGAATATATTAGAAATTAAGGATCGCTCAATTTCATATCGTAAATAAGGCTAAAATTTTTATGTAAATGGAGAAACATTTGGAAATCAGTCCGTTCTATATTGTTTAAAAGTCTTTTTGAATGAACAAAACATCTCGAAGCTTTTTATAAACTCTCAGGCTGCAGTTTTACAAGTTACTAGAGCATTTGAATTATTTCACAAATTTCAGCCATAAACTCCTAGTTCTTGAAATGAATTATTCGATTTTGACATTTTAAATTTTAAATTCGCTCCATTAATCAAATAATACCTTGAAAACTTTTTGTTTAAATCCTGTTTAACAACAGGTTTTTTTCCATGAGAATGCCCGCGATTGCAAAGGATGAATATTTTAAGAAGCATTATTATAGCATCTCACTTTTAGCACTTTGCCAAAGAAAGCTTTTTGCATATCAAGTTTTTGATGGGAACGCACTTCTATATGGTAAGGAAGTGCAAATAAACTATTTTCCTGTAGGTCTGTGTGTGCACGCATGTATCTCAAGCTCGGCAGGTAAGTTTATTTTGACTATGCCACGGATTGATCAACATTTGAAATGTATCAGGCTTCTAGAACTGGACTTCTTAGCCGGCTTGTTTGACATTTTTGATAATTTAGAAGAAAATATTCAACAGATTTACTTGAAATTTCATATTTAAATTCGAAGTGTTAAAATGATGAATCTACAAATGTTTTGGAAAGATTAGAGCTCGGAAACCAAACTGGGGGCCGATTTTATATTTTTTACCATATCTACGGAATGAATTTATGAATTTTGATGAAATTTGGTGTTTGAGTTTTGATTGTTACCGCAACTTACTCGCGAGCTTTACAGGGAATTCGACTCTTCTAGCAGCCAAAATTTCATTTTTTCTAGGCATGTTAACGAAAAGCTAAAAAATGAAAAAAATTGTTTAAAAGACAATTTTATAATCTTCTGTCACACTCTGACTAAGCAGGACAATATACATTGCGGTCGGTTACGTGCTGACCACATCAGATTTTTTTCTTTTTCTTCTTCGTCATATAATTTCTTTTTTTTGTTTTCTGTCTGTGTACCATAAATTCTTTTTTATACCCGTACGAACGTATGTTCGAAGGGTATACTAAATTTGCCTTACCGTTTGTAACGCTAAGAAATAACGGTCTAAGATATAGACTCAAATGTATGTTTTTGATCAGCGTCAAATTCTGAGTTGATTTAGCTTTGTCTGTCCGTCCGTCCGTCCGTCCGAACGATAACTCAAAAACTAATTGAGGTAAGTTCACCAAATTTTCACAAATGATTTATTGTAATAAATGGCAGAACCCTATTTAAATTGGACATGATCGGGATACCGGTTCTTGTAGCTGCCATACAACTTCAAAATTTATTTGGCTATATCTCAGAAACTATAAAAGCTATGGTATTGAAATTTCGCACAAGCAAATATATTAGTAGGGCCGATGTGCTTGATAAAATTCGTTAAAATTTCTTGGCTCTTTCTGGTAGCTGCCATACAACTTCAATGGTAGTTTGGCACACACAGTATTTTGAAAAACACATAGTACTGAAATTTTGCATAAATTGATACTCGTATGCTAATACGGCAACTTAAAGTCATAGTCTGTCCCATAGTCAGTTACGGCATCTTTATTCGCGCACATAGGATAACAAATTAGTACGGGTATCACAGAGTTGACAAGGTCAACTCTATTTTTTCTCGTTTTCTTATAAATCTGGCTGCAATTTGTGTATTAGATTTAAGATGTAGTAGATTCCTTTTAAAATACTGTTTGCATATTTTTTTTGAAAGAAAAGTGCTTTTTCAAAAACTTTATTTACTTATCGAACTTTATTTTTTTAAATCTTATTTTATTCGAACTTTACTTTACCTTATTTTTTTTACTTTTCGAAACTAAGAAATTAAAATTCAAATTTTTAGATATTCTTATATTAACCAAATTATAGGTTTTTATGTATGCAAATATAAGAACTTGTGAATTTTATGTAAATCTATATGAATATGAATATTTTTGTTTCAATATTGGTATAAAATGTTGCCTAATGTATAATGACAATTTTGTGCATTAATGAAAATTTTTTGTCCTGCATATCCCCCAAAATGAAAATTTTTCGAAAATAATTTCCTTGAATAAATGTTTAGTATTTAATTATTCTTCATTATATTTAAAAGGCCTATTAAAAAGCATATTAAGACTTTCCTTATTTAATATTTTCAAAGACGATTATGTAAAATTTAAATAGGTCTTTTAAATATTTTCCATGACATTTACTTTAATAAAAATTTTTCAAAATTTTTAAGCACTTAAACGCAAAAACAGTCCTTGTAAGAAAACAATCAACTTAATTAAATATAAAATAATCAGGATATGAAAAAGCAATGTAATAATAAAATAAAAATCTTAAAATATTTATCCAAAATCAAATCAATTGATTTCAAGCATTTGAATCCCTTAATTTCATTCAAAATTCAATTATTGATTATATAAAAAAGAGAAAAAAAAATTAATTTCCGAATCATTTTATAAAAAATCACTATGGCTGAGTGACGAAAATTCGATAAAATAATCAAGTTAACTGCCCTTATAACAAAATACAAAATCAAAAAACTAGAGTGTGAGAAGAATAATCGGAGAACCCATTGAAAAATTAAATAAAACATAAAAAAAAGCAACCAATTCTGTAAATATTTTCAATCTTTAAAAGTCTCCAATTATAAGGCAAGTGCTAACTTTTCTGAAGTGTAAACAGAACTAAAGTTGGCTTGGTTTACTTTAAGATACTGTTATGTAAGTGTAGTGGGATGTAAAAACTGTAACTAAAATTCTTTATAGAATTTTTTGAATCTGACATCTGTAGTAAATTATAATGATTTGATTTGGGTTAATAAATCATGAAATTTTTATAAATTTCCTAGTTCATTAAAATTAAATTACCCTTAAAATAATAAAATAAATTAATATTAGGTTTGTTCACATTTAAGGCGGTTTTGTATTCAAACACTCTATTCGCAGTTGCAAAAATCAGTTTATATATGCAGGTGCGTTCAATGCAGTAAAATGAGAAATGAAGTTAAATAGA